TGGCAGCCCTTGCATGCTGGATGGTCCCCTCATTGGTTTGCACCACCCAACCCCAGCTCATCAATGGGCTCGGACCCAGCAGGCGAACTTCACGAAAAGGTGATGCCAAGGGCCCCTTCTTATGCCATCTCTTTGTCTTCACCATGACCTTAGCATAGAATGGGAGCAGCGGGAAGGTCTCCACCCCAAGTCTTTCAAGCTGTTGCTGATTTCGCTGTAGGACCACATGACGTAGGGCTGCAGGCCACCACTTCGCTGGAGCTCCAGACCCCTTCAGCACCACTCGAAGCCTTCTTTTGACATGGTTGACCTCTGTCTCCACTCTTCCGTTCGCTGCATGATCGTCTCCCGAGGTCATGGTAAGCAGCAAGTTGTGTTCCAAGCACCAATGCTGCACCTGCTTCGAGAGGAACTCCTTTGCTCGGTCACAGTGCATGCGGTAGAGCGGGATCCCCAAGCTGCGGTATTTCACGAAGATAAGGTTCAGGGCTCTGATAACCTCCGTGGCACTTCGGGTTTCCATTACTTCCGTCATGGTGACATTCTGAACCTTGACCCCCTTGAGCGCCTCGGCCATCTCGTCCTTGACCTTCTCGTTGAGCCGCCTTGCCTCGTCATCTGAAGCGCGGGGCTGCTCATCTTCTTCTTCCCATTCACCTGAGACCACATCCTCTTCTGCATCTTCGACCGGCTCTGCTGGTGGATCACCACCTTCTCCTCCTTCAAGAGGTACAGGTACCGTTCCGATGAGGGCATACTTGACCTTTCTCCCGGTGCCTGCATCATCTCCAGCCGAGAAGGGGCCAGCAATATCCAAGTTGAGGACGTAAGCCGGTATATCGGCCTTCAACCTTCTATGGGGCCGATCTATGCCCGCTTCCTGCATGCAAACCCGGCACCTCCGATTGAACGGAGCGTGTCCCCTTTTCACATGCTCCTTCCACTTTTCAAGGGTCATCTTCTTGATCTCCCTCGTGTCTGCTACCTTGTCCCTTGAGCCTTCCTCCAGTTGATCAATCATCACCTTCAGGGACTTCTTGATCGCTGCCACCATCCCAGGTGCCCATTTCGACCAGGTCCTCGTCTGCACCAACCGTCGCTGTAGGTACGCCTCCATCTCTTGATGGCCTTGACCCTTAAGTCCATGAAGCTCCCCCATGCCGGGCAGATTGGTCGCCAGCGTAGTTGGTTTCCTCCGGGGGTGGCCAGCTGCCCCTTGATCTAGGTCCACCAAGATCATGCCATGATCCCGACAGAACTCGCGCACCTCCTCGAAGTTCCAGAACGAGGGGATGTCAAGCTCCTCTGCCTTTGGATCGTACTTGGCCGGGTCCATCGGAGACTCCCCCAGGAACCCAACCGGTTTTCCTCTCCTCCATGAAGAGTCCTCGGCGATCAACCACAAAGCCATCTGCTTGAAGAACAGTGCCGTGTCTCCATTGACCTTCCTTCTGTCCTCTATGGACAAGCCTGGCAGTCCATACCGACTTCGGTCCTGGCTGATTGTGCCGCAACCTGGAAATAGTCCGGCATGGTGGTCCGCCGATCACCGCCCGAATCAGTCCTTTCTTCCCAAGGTGCCAAAGGTATCCCCACAAGGCCGCATCATGAAGGTTCTGCCTCGCATTCTCCTCCATGTCTATCGTGATGACCTCGTAGCCTCTCCAATCTTCCCTTCTCCATTCTTTGGCATCCCTTCCGGCGAAGAGGTGAACCACCAGCCCCTTGCTTCTTTCCCATCTTCTTCTCAAGCTCCTGTTGAAAGGGCTCCGAGCGGCTGCTTCTGCTCCGTCCTCTACTCGGCCCATGAGCTCCAGCACCTCCTCCGGAAGATGCGGGAAATGCCGCAGCCACCATGCCCGATCCGTGGTTACCGCCGTGTGCCCGCCCGGGGCATCCAGGTAATCCATCAACTTCATCGCCGCTGACCGGGCACCCATGACGAAGCCAACAATGAAGCCGACCGTGTCAGGGTGTTTGATGATGCAGCCCTTGGCATTCCACTTGACCACAAAGCCGGCATTGACCAACATCCTCAGTGGTATGATGGGCTCCACCGGATCCAGCGTCAACAGGGCCGACGTGCCAGGGTGCTTGTACAACACCGTGCTTCCGCAGGCCAACTCCACTTCCACTGCCGTTAGATCGCCTCTTTCGTGCGACCTTGCTTGCCTCAAGGCATGCGTTGCCCCTCCGTCCAGGAGGGCAACTGGCTCCAACTCCTCAGCTCCAGCCTGTCTCTTGGCTGCCTCATACTTGATCTGGAGGGCCTTCATCGATCTCAATGATTTCAGCAAGCCCGCCACTTCAGACATCAACCCAGCCTCCGCAGCATGCGGCGGCTTAGGTGTTCCTCCGCCCATGGCCACCGAATTCGGCGGTGCGGTGCTGGGAATCCGACCGGTGACCTCCCGGGACGCCTCCTCCGCGGAGCCCGGTGAGCCAGCCTGTCGGGCCCCTTCACCGCCTGCGCCAGAGCCTTCTCCCGAAGACCTTGCATCCTTCTGCTTCTCGAACTTGGACACCTTGGGAGGGGCCGTTGCTGTCGTCTTGCTCGTGCCCCAGTCCCATTTCTTGACCGGGCAATCCCGCTTCGAGTGGCCCACCCCAGAACATCCGAAGCACCGGTTGTTCTTCTCCAAGCCATCCCACGAATGGGCGTAGCTGCAACTGCCACCCTTCTTGCATCCTCCATCTGTGCCCCAAAACCTGCATGGTGCCCCGAATGACCTTTTGCTTCTGGTCTCCCGTCTCTGCAGCCGGATCCTTGGTTCCAGAAGTCGCCAGGGCCTTGAGTCCCGCCGCTGGCTGAGTTGGATTGGCCGCGTTGGTCGTGGATGAGGTCTTCAGGGCTGTTGCAAGTGAGAGTTCTTCCGCCTCCGCCTGCAAGTACTCCGAGAACTGCTTGATCTTCGCGAGATGAGGGCGAACATCAACTTGAAGTTCTTGGCGAACCGAGGAGATCCGAAAGCTGGCTTGAGCACCCGCTTTCCCGACTGCTTCCGCAATCTTGTTTAGGACCGTCAGCAACACCAAGCCATCTGGTAGTGCCACCTCCAACTCCTCTGCCCTCGCCAACCATCTCCTCCACAGCCTCAACGTCTGCAGGGCCTCCGTCAACGTGTTTCCCACCTTCGGATCTGCCAGGTTCTTGAGCAGATTGCCTCTCTCCGACGTCCCACCTGGCTGATATATCTGGTGAAGGCGAAACATGATCTCCGTGGCCGACATTTTCCTTGCCGAGATGATTTCTCTGCGGATTGGGTCAGGCAGTGCAGCAAGTAGCATGGAAAGCCCCCGTTGCTCCACCCGGTGATTGTGGACATGTTTCTCCCCCAACGAAGGCTTCAGCCTCAGCTTCTCCAAGGGGGTTGCAATCAGCCACTCCGTGTAGGTGGATTCTGCTCGTTGAAGAACATCCTTCCACCACTCTTGAGCTGAACCTGCAATGTCCGCCATCAACGGCCCGATCACCGTCACCCAATCTCCAAAGGTCAACGCTGCCAGATCTCCTCCAGGGGGAGGCAGACTAGGCAACACCAAATTCCTCAGAGCCTCCGACAAGTGAGATGGAGCAGTCGGCTTATTGTCGTCCAATCCCCTCGGAGGTGGTGGTGGTGGTGGAGGTGGCTGAGGTCGATTTCCTTCATCATGAAGCGGTGGAGGACCAAGACCTCCAACGACTCCTCCTTCTGATGCCGTCCTGTAGGAAACATCGTCCCTCGTTCTTGCCGCCTGCAATCTCGCCACTTCTCTTTCGAAGATCTCCTCCGCGTCCCTCATCACCCGTAGTCGCAGAGCTTCAAGATCTTCTTCTTGACCTTGTTGCCGTCCTCGGTCATCGGTGGTCGCCCTGCCAGCAGACACAGGTTGTGCTTGGGCGGCCCTTCTTTGAACCTCAGTTCTCGACTAGCTGAAGGATGCCCGTCAGGTGGTCCACGCAGTTGACCATGCCCTTCAGGTTCTCCCGAATCATGACCATGCCTTACTCCCGGATGTCCTTGGTCTTCTCCACCAGCCAGGAATTGCCCTTGGGGTACTACAGCATCGTGCCCGCCGTGCGCCCCAGAACGTCCTCGGATTTCCTGAGGTAGCCCGCTTGGCCCAGGTCCTTCGCCAGACCCACGCCCTCGAGACCCACCAGGATGGAATTGACCCCCACCCCGATCTTGAATTGGTTCACCTGGCCGTTCCAGAATCCGCTCCTGTTGGCCGGGTTGTTCTCCTTGTCCAGGGGGACCCCGTAGAGCTCCTTGCCCGCGGCGTCCATCTTCTGCCATATCCGGCACCAGCCCGGGAGGGGGAAGAACATCCCTTCCGCCCCGAGGCTCACTCCGTTCCGGACCGGTGACCCGGCGAATCCCCCGCCGGTCTTCCAGATCCTCCGACCTCGCCCTCCCGCGATGCCCGCTCCTCCTCCTGCACCCGCTCCATGATGAGGCGGTCCAAGGCCTCATCTGCGGTCTCCCCATCTCGTACCACTTCTCGCCGGCGCCTGCGAATCATGGCTTTACCTCAGAGAGTTTGGGCTCATAACCTATGGTTATGTCTATGCAAAAGATCGCCATTGAATGGTTCCGTGTGCATCATGTTTCTGTTGAACATGCACAGAATCAAACCAGCACCCTGGTAAAGCATTGTGCTTGTTTAAAGATCAGCTCATTTCGAGTCCCTTTTCACAGAAGGCATTACGACTAGCTGAACCCCGAGTAGGTCTTCAACCGATCTAGTAAGTTGGGAGAGCCACGCCCCGCCACTGAAGTAAGCAAGAAGTCGGCCAAAATAAACAAGTGGTTAGCCACGTGAGTCACAGCCCACTTAGGGAGACTTACAATCTATTTTGCCAACAACTTGCTTACGAACATTCAGGTACGATCATAACCACTAAGCACAGTGATTAATTGGCATAGCTTATGAAGCCATAAAATTGTCTCGTTTTGTCCTCCCCCCCGTATGGCTCGAATCTGGCCTTAACGTGGGCTGCAAATCAAAGTACTGAGGTTGGACTGCCTCTCTGAGCGCATCTACCAGGCCAGTCACAGTGTCAGCTGCTTGCGGATTTGTTTTGGATGTTGATCGGCTGTTACATTCACTTTTCTGGAAGGAGCAACTTATTCGCTGCATTTTATGCTTTGGGGGAAAGCAGCTACTTTAGTGCACACTTACAGTTTAGACTTGTTTGGCAAATCCACTCGTGCTTTGAGTGAATCATTGTTACCTCAACACCTATCGCAAGAGCGATTTTTGATCTGCATTGGATAGGCCTTGAGTTGATTGCGGGGAGTGTGCCGGTTCGGCAACTAGTGACGTGGATGGAAGGTTGTCGATGACCCATAGTCATGTGAAAGTCAAGGAGCAAAGCAGATCCGAAGCAAGCAACCTTCTGCACGCCACGTGCATGGCTCTCATGGACGCTTACGCCGTTGAGACATCTCTTTACCTTGTGCCAAGACGTGATTGATGTCAGTTGTGTTTTGCCCCCAGCCGTGCAACCTCAACAAACTCATTCGGGCTTAGTCCTTGTTGGGAGGCCCTCAATTCTTTCACTCCCTGGGGAGGCGAATTAGCACCTCAACTCCTGAGTTGTGCTGAGTCATCCATATGAGCCCCGCTCCCCCAACCCACCCCACAAAACCCCAAAACCCCGAAAGTCACTAAATATACTGACTTTTGATATTAACAATTATCCTATTTACGAGCAACCCGTTTGTTTTCTCAAAGCCCT